CTTGATGGCATAGGGGGACTGGTAGGGCTGGAGGTTCGCTGATCGATGGTCGCTGGAGTATTTGGTGAGAGTTCACTGGTTGTTAGTTAGCTATCCACAGCTTAGGGCATGAGATTAGTGAGAGAGAGAGATAGGATATCTAGGGAGACACTAGGATGGATTGCCAAAGGAATGGAGACGTTGGTGGTGTTGCTGGGGCGTAAGACACAGAGAGAGAGAGAGGACTGACAGTGGGAAAAAAAAAAAAGAAGAAACAACAATGAAGCAAAGACATGACTTGAGAGAGGTCTGGGAAAAAAAAAGAAGAGATGTAGGGGGAGGCTGCATCTCTAACAGATGAAGTGACTGAGGTTGGTAGGTTTGATTTTGAAAAATAATGAGTGAAAAAGAGATGAATTTGGGGGGAAATGAAAGGTTATTAATGACAGTTGGATGAATGAATTTTAGGTCGTTGGATTTATTTGTTAAAGTCGCCTTACTTTATATTATAGATACAATAAAAATTATAATTTTTAAGGGTTTTTCTAGTAAAATAAGGTAAGTTTGTTTGGATCTTGATTTTTTTATTAGTTTATGTAGTAGGTTTTTGAACCCAAAAAGTTTATTTAGACTGATTTATGAAATTGATTTTATGAACCTTGCTTTCGGCTTTTTAGAGTTTGTTACAGGTTCTACATAACTTTTTCATTTATTATATTCACAGGTTAGTCCAACCCTTAGGCAACTAAGTTGTTTGCTTAGGGCCCCAAATTTTAGAGGGTCCCTACAATATTTATCCTTTTAGTATAGTAGGCCTAATTTTTTATTTTTTATTTTAGATATGATTAAAATTTTAGATCCCAAATTTTATTAGTTCAGATCAGTATCTAATTTTATTAAGTCCAAAATTACTTTCTAGTTGGTTAAGCCCAAATTTTAGAGGCCTCCATAAATTTTATCACTTTAATATAATAGTCATTTTTATTTTTATTTTTTGTATTTTAGATATGATTCAAATTTTTAGGGCTCAAATTTTAATAGTTCAAATGAATATCTAATTTTTTGGGTCCAAAATTACACCTTCGTGTGAGTTTTGATTTAAAATTTTCTAAATATTTTGGGTGTGTTCATAGTTGTATTTCACTCACTCACATAGAAAATTTATATTCATTATTTCTTGTGATGAAAATCTATAAAATTAGTTCTTTTTTTATCTTAATATAAATTTTCAGTTCTAATAATTTTTACTTAAATTGTCTATGTTATTAAAGTTTTGTACTTCATGCATGCACATTATTCATGGGTAAAGAATGATTCTTTATTATGTTAAAATTATTCTATGCTCGCATATTCTATTATTAAATTACTTGTTAAAATTTTATTTACAATCAACTAAGAGTGAATGAATTAATAATATTATCTATAAAAAAAATTATTGTCAAAACTTGACTATAAAAACTTGATCAATATTTTAAGTTTTTTAAAAATTAAAAAATAATTTTTTAAAACATAACAAAATTATAATAGTTATAAATAAAATATATTAATAGACAAAATATCAATACGGCCTCGTATGAAAATTTTGTCTAGGACCATGCTTTACCTTGGGCTGCCTCGGTATATTCATAAAATATTATTAGTAATTTTATAAAAAATAAAATAAAATTCATATTTTGGGAACTATTATATATAATTTATACATGTAATTAGTTTTTTTTATTTTGATACAAAAAAATTAAAAAAAATAAAAAATCACTCCAAACGAACTTTTTTAACTTTATAAAGGACATTCCAAATGGTTTTGGTGAACTCTTTAAGTCTAACTTTTTTCCAAATTTTTTTAAACTGTAATTTTTCAGTTCCAAACTCGCCTAATATCAAAAAGTACTTTTTCGACATCATAATGGAACTTTGAAATAATTTTCATGACCTAATTAAGCAGCGGCGGCAATCAGCCATCAAGTCCTGGTTCAAAAGTCCACACCTACTGAGAATTTGATTTACCAGCTAAAAAATGCTTTTTGTTAGAGAAAAGGGACTAGAATGTGGTCATGTTACGTAGCAAAGACCAAGTGGAACTGTCAAAGAAACAACTTGTATAAGTCAATTACAGTTTAACCCCACCAACCCCCGTAGGTGAAAATTCGCACTGTATCTGGTGAGACAATGACTTGCTTCTTCTTCTGTGAACTTTTTAGCAACCTTTCGTATTCGTTTTTAATTACTTAGTAAGAGGTGATGGTCTTTTGCTTGGTCTACATACATCTAACTAGGGGTATGTTTTCAATGGTTTGGGTCAACGACACCTAGCTAATCCATGTCCATCACTTGCACAGCTTTTGCAAAATTGTGATCTGCTAACCAACAGCTCGCGTAGTAATAAAAATGAGTAGTAAATTCAAATGTCTTGAATTTGAATTTTGCCAACCTCTTAAGGTTAAGTGATAAAAAATTTATCACTCGTAAATACCTTAATCCCAATATGAATGATCTACTTTTGACCGAATTGAAGAGGGGTTAATCGAGATGCGTGTAAACTGACTCAAACACCTTTTACTATTGAACTCCAAAAAAAAAAAAAAAAATTGTGTTGCACTGGGACGGATCCAGAAATTAAGTGTAGAGACAACAATTTGAACCAGTTATCGGAAAGAAAAAACAGAAAATTGGGAGAGCTGCAAACTCTAAATTAAAGGGTAATGCAAGACTGAAAAAAAGAGAGATATTAAAATAGGGGTCAAATCATCTAACGTGGACATGGTGTATAAAATTTATATTGTAAATAAACGTGGTGAGATCAGAAGCACCTTCAGATCAGTATTACATTACTTAGACCCGTTTTTGGTCTTTTGCTTCATTGGTCTTCCATCGTCCATATAGAAATATAAAAGTTACTTAGCAAATTCCTGAATATTATACAATTTTAGGAAACTTAAAGGGTTGATCGTCCAAGTTGACCCCCAAATTTTTTCACATTACATATAAAAAAATTGGGTTATAATATACAAAGGGTTCTG